ATATAAACTTGACACATTAAAATGCAAAATCAAATGTGAAAAATTTCGAAAAAAGGTTGTGTTGATGTTGATCATCTTGACATTGCAGTGTATAGAGAGAAAAAGTAATTTCAAGACTATTTTTACATTTTGCAATACATCATCCATACCGTCAATTTTCAAGATTTTCAAATATTTATAGATCCACATTATTTAAACCATTTCTAAATTTTAAAATATTATAATTAAAAATAAAAATAGAATTTTGCACCAAAGAACTTTCGGCACCAAAATTGCATCACAAGACCCAAGGTTACACCTCAATCAAAGGTTGCAACCTCATGCAAACCACACCCTAATGAAATTTTATGTTTTAAACTGAAACCTGGAATGGTTTCACGCACAAGAGGACTAACCGTCAGAAACCAAAGGAGACATTTAGTCGGTTAAACGCTTTCTTTTCACATACATTCAACATATAATTCATTGTTATACCATGCCCAAAAAATTGATTATCTGGAGAAAATAAATAAATAAATTTGAGTCCTTCAAATCTCGCCTCCTATTGGTTTAACGCCTGAGTAGCCAAATGAGTTTATCTTGACAATCGAGTTATTTATAACTCACCTCCTAAAATCAAACCATGTTCAGTCTTGACGCATCATCCATTTCAAGGCCAGTACAGATCTGGTTCGAAAGTTCACCTCTCTTACTGTTAAATCATGGGGTTACGTTTTACCAAAATACTCCATGGATTGGGTCTAATTGGATTCTACATGAGAGGACATAGATAGTACGCTCCTGCAGGAGCATCGAATTTCCTCATAAGTACTATGTAATACATACATGGGTGCTGAAAAACCATCAAGCCTGTTTAGCCAGGATTGATCCTTGATTCAGAGTGCAAAGAGTGTTTCAAGCACATCTATCCATGCCCAAAACTTCAAATACATAGAAACAAGATAGGAAATACCAAACGAGAACAAGCAATACAATAAATAAACTACAAAGAACAAGAAAGCAACTTAAATATAAAATAAAATAAAATCAAAGGTTTAAGAATGCCGATAGAAGTGACTTAATAAGAGTTTTTTCTTTTGGCGGTGTTGGTGGCGAGAAGTCCTAGTCTTCAGTAGAAAGTGGGGAGTCCAAGTCCGCCTTGTGATGGAATCGAACGACGACACACGTGATGTTGTCGGCACTGCCACGCATGTAGGCAGTCTCTGTGAGCTTCCTGGCTGCTGCCTCAGGCTCCTCCACAGTTTTAGCAAGGGACACCGCATCCTAATCAGGAATCAAAGCTCAGATCAGCATCCACACTTCCTTATTTGGATCTTGATGTTACATCAAATCAAATAGTTCCTCTTAACTACAGGGATAAGATTACAATAACAGAAGGGCGCATAGTAGCTGGTCTAGCCCTAGCTTGCATTGGTTCGTCTCGTGACTAGAGAGAGACTAGAAATTTTTTTGAATCTGAAAACTTTCAGATTGTATTAGCCACTCCATGGCCAGTTCCATTAAAATGTAAAAATAAAAACTAGAAAATTTGCTTTGGAACAATTCACTCTCAAAAACAGATGCCGCAGCAAGAATGGGTAAAACCCCTTCAAAAGAGGGAAGGAGTTCAAGGCTCAATAACTAAAAAGTTCCGACACAGAATTATAATTCAATCAATCAATAATGAAACTACTCAAAAGAAAAGAAAAAGACAAGACTAAACTCAAGAAACAAGAAAAGAATTTAAACTTAAAATTCCACCAACCATGTCCCCCATGTGTCGGTCATTTACTGAGAACAAGAATTCCATCCTAAGAATGCAATACGAAAATTATATCTTAAAAACATATTAGAACCGAACAATGCACAACAAAACACTACATATCAGCTTCCTATTTATTCCTTAGCTCATCAATCAACCACTTGGCCACTGAATTTCCAACACAAAAACAAAAAAATCCAACTCCCATATTTTTTATCTCCATCATTCTCCCTGGGCTGAGGAACTCATCCTCGACTTCAACAGCTCATTCAACAGCTCATTGTGAAATTCCATCATCAGGTTCCCATAATTCACTTTTTGAAACTGCTCTTTTAACATGGGATGACACCCTCCACTAGTTTTCTGTAAACGTTTTATATTTTGTAGAATTTGCTTCTAGAATTAACCTTCGAGAAGTGCCAAGATTCATCATTCTTCTACATCAAACCTTTGCTGCCTCAACATCCTTAAAATGGATGTTAATAGTGCTTGATCTTCAACAAATTTATGCAAGTTGTCCCTGGAATTGGGTTCGTCTTTCATCTAAACTAATATTCACTCACTTTAGAAGGATAGAGGCAAATCAAACTCAAAACTCCGAATAAACACTGTCAAATAAGTTCTCTTTCAGAGTTTCTTGAAAATGTCCCCAACTTGGGGAGTAGTTGATGCAAATAACATTTAGGTCATTCTTACTCAACAAGCTTTTCAGATTTGCAGCTTAATAAGCCATAGGATCCATCAGCTGATCCATTTCTTGAAAAAAGTCTGCCATCAAGAGTGCAACAGGGCAACAGTTCGGGTCTTGAGGATCACGTGAGGCTAATAGATCTCTAAACCTATGCAATCGAGCCTGGTCTACTACCACTTTGATACAGCAAGAACCAGGTAGCGTAAAAGACTCACAACGAGGAGACCACAACCACCATGAAAGAAGCTCAAAAGCTCAAGAACCCGAAAGTTCTGACACATAAATGATAACTCAATCTTTGTACAAGGATCCATTAGACCCTATTTATAAGAAAATAAATCCATAAATCCATAACTTAAGAACCAAGAAATGAACCTAAACCTAAAATACTACCAACCAAGTCCCCTATACATTAGAAACCCAACAGTAACGTACAATCCCTCAAAGCATTTATTAAATATAAAAATTTAATCCTAAAAATACATAGAAGCTAAACAAAGCATCACTATTTAGACAAAACACTACATATCACTTTCTATTTTACCCCAAGTGAATTGACCACATTGTCCCTGAATTACCAGCACAAAAGACCAAGGACTCCAGTCATGTACTTTTTATCTCCTAAAACGGACTCTGAACCATCCATTTGAGGGACAAATAAATCTAAAGTTTCAAGATTGCAAAGGATTTCTTTCTTATTTTCTGGTTTCCTTTTCGGGATTGTTTATAAGGTGAATCAAATGATGATCTTGTTTTCTTAAAAAAGTTCCTCTTTATCCAAAAGAAGAAGAAAACTTCTAGTATATTCTATACAAAAAGTTTTAACTCTTTCAAGACTTTAAATAGAATAAGAATACAATCAAATGATTAAATGCAACACTTACCAATGGAAACAATGAAAATAAAAACACATACAAAATGTGAAAAAAAAAAAAATCACTACGTTAAAAGATCGTTTTTCCTAAGATAACCAAGAAAAACACGTCCAACGCCAAATTCCACCCCAAAAGTGTGTGCACCATAAATTAGTCTTTCTTGCATGCAAAACTCTCTCTCTCTAAGTAGCTATTTGTTGAGAATCAGGTAAGACTTGAGAAAGACCTCATTTGGCACAACATCCCAAAGGCCGTCGCTAGCCAAGACCAAACACTCAAGATCTTCAGTGACTTCTTGTTCCTGAAAATGCATCCAACAGATAATGTCAGTGCCATCACTCATTTTCCTGATTCATAGACAGATGCAAGTCACTTTCCTGATGCATTCCCTGATTTCCTCATCACTGAGTAACTAACAGGTCCAGACCTATGCTACTAGGATAGGTCATAACAGGCAAAGTGTCCATGCAGAAAACCCGTTTACTTCTAATGCTCCTTAGGCAACACGCTTTTAAACATTCCACCAAACTTCTAATACAAGAGCAAATTATTGTAATTAATAGTTCTCAGATGAAAATTCTTTTTGTGAATGTACGTATAAGGAAAAAGTCTCTTATAAAAGGAAAGGATAGATAAAATAGAGTAGCTTTGATGACAAATTCTTAGTACTCTAGATAAGAGGCAGAAGTCAACTCCTCTCTGATGTTTAATTCTAGTATCCAATTTTGTTTCGTATATTTTATCTATAGAAAGGTATGACAAATCCCGTTTCTTTCTTTGTTTAGATTGTCAGGTAGCATCACGTTGGGATGCTAGCATGCACATAAAATAAAGTTGGAGCAAATTACATTTTTTATTGGAGCAAATTATATTTTTTACCTGGTATTATAGGAGGGAAATACCCTATCTCTCTAAACTACACTTAGTTAGACATTAACTCCAAATATTATTATCCTATGAATTACCCAAATCTCAGGTACTCTTTAACTACATTCAGTAGTCAAAAACTCTAAAATAGTACTATCGTATTAATTACCTGAATCTCAGGCTCTCTATTATCTTATATTAAGTAGTCAAAAACTCTTAAACATTACCATCCTATGAATTACCTGAATCTCTGGCTCTGCCACTACAAACTGTTTCAGTAACCGGTTGCCAAATGCACGGGACATTGCAAGGACACCTCCTACTCTCCAAGTACCTGCGAGATAATAGTTTCATATCTAATTACTTCATCTGACTACGACAAGCCAATTGTGTTTAAGTTTTGACAACAAATAAGACATGGTGAAGCCGCTCTTTTCTTACATGCCTCAAGGCGAAGAAAATGTCGATTTAAAAAAAAAAAAAAAAAACACTTGGCCAAATGCAGTTGCACACTGGGCTCCAATTAAAAGTGACTCCAGCATGCCATATTACATGATGTCAAAAAGTACCTATTGCAAATTTTAGAATAAAACTGAAACTACCCCATTTCCATGCAAATTACATTTTGAACATTGTGCCCTTCAAGTAAATACAAACACACCGTGTCTGTAAATGATAAACATACAGGTACAAAGCAAGTTCACCAATAGAGAGAATTGACTTGATTCTCCGAAATTGATAAGAAAACATCCGAAAGCATTCCGTCATAAATTTGTGAACAACCAAAAAGGCACCTTGCTAGATAAACAACATAACAAGTTCATGTGCTTGTTCTCTCCACCTCAAGTTTTTGTTCAAACCCAGCCAACCTATCATCAAAAATGATCCACTCGGTCCAAACATGAAATCGCACCAACTTTAGCATATGAAAATGCCCTTGAACTCGAGCAAACTTACCCTCATTTTCTCATCAAAATGTTGAAAAGTAATTATTTTCTTTCACTAATTCAAGTTCAACAGAATTATTAATTATTTTCTTTCACTAATTCAAGTTCAACAGAATTATCAAAACAGGCTTAGTTTTCAGCAATCAATGATACGAAGTTCATGATAAATGGTCAAGACCTTGACCTTGCTTTAAGATGGACATTCAGTAACCTTAAGACTCCTCAATATAGAGCTCATTATAGGCCTTTGCAGCCTTTACTAATCAGAACCTGAAATATCTTAAAAATTTAATCGATTTCAAGGGTTAGATTCTAACAAATTTAATCATTGCTAAGTTAAGCGTCAGATTTATTGCCCTAGCAGACAAGGGCTATAGTCACATTCATCCACAGGTCGCTGCCCCAAGTTACACTTATCCACAAGTTGCTGCCCCACAATACGCATGTACCTTGGCCTTAAGTTTCTTCTAAATCAAGCCACTCATGTTCTCACAATCAGTGAACCGTTTCCTGGTTGTTCCATCATTGTAAGGGGTACTTAAAGGGACCAAAAGACCCAAAATGGGTTGCAAGTATGGAAGCCACTAAAATGGTCTCCAAACCCTAGTAAGGGTGGAATCCATGCAATGTTTGTGATATAGGGAGCCATGAGATTTTATGCCATTACAAGAGCAAGCATTGTGTTTCTGTAGATTTTCTTCTTTCTACAGCATTATTGCAATTCATCAAAGGGAAACATGAGCCACATAGGGAACACATACCTGCCCACATAACAACTCCTCCAGCATTCTCTATCCTCTTGCGCTCATCACTTCTGTTTGGCTTATGATCCTCTGAAAGGGGAATGGCTGACATAAAGAAAAACCTGCAATTAGTAATGCTGCCTGCAATGTATCAAAAGACAGTTGACTTGAATCTACTATAAATAACAAACATAACACAAGTTTAAATAGTAGGGTCTATGTAGCATAACAATCAAATGTAAAATAAAATAAAATATTTAATATTTAAATTGCAATTTTTTATAGAAAATTTCTACGCCCTCTAAATTCATTTTAGCCTTATGATTTTTTCGCCATGTCCATATGGGCCAATCTGACGGTCACAACCTCATTTGGTGTCCAAATCACTTGAAATTTTAGGTGTGCGTTCTTCTCATCAAGACGCACCTAATAAAAATATATAAAAAAATATTATTCGCAAAAAAGACCAAAATACCCCGGAAACTTTTCAGGGGTATTTTGTTCAATTTATTTCATGTAAAATATTTTTTTGATATTTTTCGAATATTCAACTATTTTTTATAAACACCATCCTAAAATTTCAAGTGATTTGGATTCGTAGAAAAAATATTAAAATTCAAACACTACCGGACATCCGTGATCGTTAGATTGGGCCGTTGGGCTCATATGTTCATATGAGCTTGTGGGCTAATCCCAGCTTTTTCATAAGTCGTGGGAGGCAAGGCACACAGGGGATAGG